TAAATGTGATCCTTCTAGAATGCTATCAGAGCGGGTAATAAAATGCAGGAAAATTTATACCTATATTCCATAGACTATGTAAAATGTCGTGCTTTACTAAAGGCCAAATTGTAGTGCATCTCTCGTCCAGAACTGGAGGCTTATCTCAAATTTCGGAGATAAGATTTTTAATTTTGATTTGGGCTGGCGGTAGTCCGCTGCAGTAGTTCGCTTAATAAATCTTTGCTTTTTACACTTGGAATAACTTCAGCTTATTTAATTGAAGTAAGTATAAGATTTATTTATTTCAATTCCTTCAGACTTTCTATATTATTTTATGCTTTCAGTGCAGTAAACAAACTTTTTGTTTGTTTAGGGTTTATTTTGTTTTACGGCATATCAACGTCAATGGATTATTTAATACCGACAAAAATTAAAAAAATAGATTCGTTTGTTTGTTTAACGGCATATCAACTTATAATGGGTCATTTAAACCGAAATTTAATTTTCTTGGGAAAATTAGTAATTTCTTTTATAAAAATGTATTGCTGGTAATATATTTTCCTTCAAAAATGTATTGCTAGTTGTTATGGGAACTTACCCATAATAATAATGGACTATTCCTGACATTATAAATACTGCGCCTCTCAAGAGGTATCGGGAGATTGTAAGGCCAGGGGAGATAATTACGAGTATATTGTAAGGACATTAGAATAGTGATACTTGTCGAGACAATATAGTTCACTCTAACCAAATCTGATAGTCAATACTAATACTTCTACTTCTTTATATTATATTTCTGTTGTAATATATCTTTGTATTCCATACCTGTGTTCGTGTTATTCTTTCATTGGTTCTAACCTTGGACCATCACCGTGGTACAAGGAACTTGGACCATAACACTAGTAATATTTTCTCCAAAGGTGTATTGCTGGTACTTTTACTATAAAAATCTATTTTCACACTTTCATAGTGTTTTGACTTCAGTTTGGGGGTGGGATAACTATGTAGTTTATCGTAAACGGAAGCATTTTGTGCGAAAATCATTAAAAATGCAATTTAGGAAATTTTGTTTTGTTACTTGGAAGTTAATTTAACATTTTTCACTTAAAGTTAATTTAATATTCTTCTCTGTGAAATTTTTTCTTCATAAAAGCAAATAGCCTAATTATCAATTATTTATTTATTTATTTTAGTCTCTGTTTCTAAAAGATGAAAACAAGATGAAAACTATGCTTCTTAACATTTTAATTTTACTTGATTTAAAAGAATAATTTATTAATCTGATTTTTTTCTTGTCTCTCTTATTACAAAAGTTGCAAATTATCCCCCAAGAAAGTTAATTTTAATAATGTTTCGTTATGTTTAATTTTAAACGAAGACGTTTTTCGATTATCACACTGAAATTTATTTAAAAATACTATAAAGTTAATTTAATAGTTTTCTCTATGATACTGTTATTCATAACAACAACTCTATTGATGATAAAATTTAATGTTTTTATGAGTAATTTGTGTTTCTTTTTCTAAAAGTCTTTCTTAAAAAGTATGTTGAATTTTGGTTTAGGTTACCGCTAAAAAAAAATGAAATAGGAACAAACGTGATATTTTATTCCACAAAATTAATGAAAAACCATTTATTAAAAAGGTTGTGATATAAAGTTAATGTTATAATTAAATTCAATAAATTTAATCCGATATTTTTCGATATTGTAAACGATGTGTACAAAACATTAACCCTAAACCACGCATTTTGAAGATCTTTTTTTTTTTCAGATATTTTCTATAATCGTAAAAACCATATATTCCTGACAAAATATGTCAGCATAAAAATTACTTTCTTTCTAAACAATAAAATAAATAAAAAACGTTACTGTCATGTTTATTTTGTTCCATGTCATATTTTTGTGTTGTAATGTACGGCAAGAGTGTGTTGAGGTTGGGGAAAACACCTAAGCGACTGCTCTCCCAGCAACGACGGTGGTAACAGAGCAGAGAGGGGAAAGAGAAGGGAGGTAAAAAAAAAAACAATACTCTCTCAGAAACCACAGCAACTTCAGGAACAAATATGCCCACGAGACCGACTTCACAAGACACCGTGGTTTGCCTCCTGTCCGTTTTCTCCCCGCATGAGGCATCTTACAAAGACTCAGATTTTGATCAGTTGCAAAGAGGCCCGTATCTAGATATGCCAAACTGTTCCGCTGCTAACGGAAAATCCTGGATGTAACTGGTATTGACAAACATGTCTGCATGCAATCCGAGGCCTCTTTTGCGTCTGTACTGACGCGCGTTCGCCACGTTTTACTTCAGAATTCATATTTTCGATATGGTTTTTATTTCATTAAAACTGTTTTAACGTGGATAATTAAAATGCATATAACATTTCCTGCACCCTTGTTAACAGGATGGTATGGGAAGGATCCGCAGCTCCACCAAACTATTTATTAATCGTAATAAGACCTTAATAAAGAAAAAAATATATCAAGATAAAGAGGATTAACTTTTCGAGCTAAATTAATTACGCTCATAATCTCTACTTTTTCTTTTACTTTTTTACGCTAGCTACAGCAACTAACTACTGCAAACCCAAACTGAAATTAAAAAGATTCGTTCCCAGTGGAGCGACGAGATTTGAGATAGGTCGCCAGTTCAGGTTGAGAGATGCACTATAACTTGGCCTTCAGTAAAGCACACCATGCTCCGCAAAAGCATTTTTAAGCTAAAGCACAAAGATCTAAATGAACTGCTGAGAAAACTTTACTTATTCGGAAACGCTATAAAGATAATCCAGTACATTGACTGGGAACAAACTCTCTGCATATACGGATAGAAAATGAATTGAGCAAATACACGAAAATAGAAAGGACAAGGCAAGGATGCGTCTTCTCATCGGATGTATTTCACCCATACAGCAAGATGATCCTAAGCGAAGGATTTGTTACTAGTGGACACAATCTTAACAGAAAATATGCAGCTGACTCCGTGTTCATGATATAGAAAAAAATGCGAGAACTCTTAGGAAAAGTAGTAAAGGAAAGTCAAAAGAAAGGACTAACCATTGATTAAAAGAAGATAGAATATATAGTTGTCAGCAAAAGGGGCAGCCTAAGATGCGAGATACAAACTGGGGATGTCAAAATCAAGCAAGTAAAGAAATTTAACTCTCTGGTAAATCTTATAAGAGAAAATGTGACACAAATGCGAAAACACATTTGAATAGCAAAAGATGCTTTCCAAAAGCCAAACAAAGTATTAAGAAACAGGAATATTCAGTTAAAAGCAAAATACACCCGGTATATAAAAAAGTGCTTGAATATATCAAAACATATGAAGATAAGAAAAATTCAATAAAGAGCTTAATCGAAGTACCTAGTCAGAAGTCTTTACTGGAACTTGTATAAAAGAGGGATTGCTGCTCAATAACACAATATATATATATATATATATATATATATATATATATATATATATATATATATATATATGGCCGACTCTCCCGTCGTATTCGATTATGAAGATCAAGCAGCCCAGTTCCTAGGAACCGACAGCCCAGACACCAGCACATATGATTTGATTATAATGGTGAAGGCTTTGTGCAGAACCAACCACACTTTTTGAAGGGCTAAATACAGAAAGCTGGTGCACTATGTCCCATAAGTTCCCCAAACTACACTCTGCAAGTTTTGAATTCAGAGTTGTCCTTCTCTTAGACCAGCGCTATCCAAGGCTATAGAACCCAGTCTGTTCTGCTATTTACCCATAGCTGGAGGGAGAAGAAGAGGAAGAGGATTAATACCGTAAGGATTAATACATAAGTGAATGTAATGGATTTAACTGGAATTCGAACTCGACTCTTCGATTCCTCAATCCCAACTGCTATCCATTACTCCAACTTTATTATATTTATTTTTTATATATATATATATATATATATATATATATATATATATATATATATATATATATATATATATATATATATATATATATATATATATATATATATATATATATATATATATATATATATATATATATATATATATATATATATATATATATATATATATATATATATATATATATATATATATATATATCTGCAGAATGGCAAATTTATTACACATTAGAGATTAATGCATTTATAAGTGCTTTTATGATGAATGGTGTCTCCTTTTCGAGTAAGTCTATTACTTTTTACTAAAGAGACGATTTCATTGTATGCAATCCACCAGTGGCCTTTCATCCCGGCCTGTAACTTGCATGCATTTGCTCAGACCTATTATTGAAATGACGCTTCTGTTATGTATACTAGCTTCTTACGTAAATCACACCGACTCAGCTTTTTTTTTTTTTTTTTTTTTTTTTTTTTGCGTGGTATATTCGCATGGGCACAGCAGTGGGGGTAGGGTTCGCTCCAAAAAAGAGAGCCAGGAAAAGAAGATACCACCAGAGAGTTCAAATACCAGTGCAAGGCATCAAGCCAAGCTAGAATTTTGCCAAAATAGAATTTAGAAAGAAAGAATGAAAGAAAAAAAAAAAAGAAAGAAAGAAAGACTGTAATGTCTTTGATTTAAAAAAAAGGAAAAGGCTGCCAAAAACAAAAAGCGTTTCTTTTTAAATTATTCTCAATATAGCAAGACGCCACATACTCTACCCACATTTCTGTATCTACATACATAGATAATGGAATTCAGCTATCATTGTTTTCTTATTATATTATATATATTTACAAAGAATACTTAATGTTTTTATATAAAATCTATTAAAGAATTAATGGATTTTTTTAAAATTTTTAATCCGACATTTTTATCATTTCAAACGCTATGATAGTGGATCCTTCGTATATAAAATAGACGCCTATTTTTATTTATTAAACAGTGTGCGTTACGTCTATCGGCCTGCGCATTCGATAATGATTCAAACAATTGACTAAAAGGAATCAGTCTAATTAATTAAAAATAATGATACAGTCTCATCAGAATATTTTGACAAGTACATCTCAGGTCTCATTGAGCAACGACCATATCATATTGAAACAACGGTTCTCGTGCGATAACCGAAGTTAAGCAGCGTCATTCTTGGTCAGTACCTAGACGGGTAACCGCTTGGGAATACGACGTGCTGTAAGCTTGGGTGTGCGGGTGGTGTAAGGAATAACAGCTCAGAATTGGATATCGGCGTGCTGAGTTCCAAATCCGGTCGGGTTCGTTATATTTACTTACGCGCAAATAACCTTGAGAAAGATAGAATCCTTCCTCTTCTCCTCCCACCACCTATTAGTTAACTAGTAGGACTTGAGTCATTATTATCGCCAAAAAATTCTCACAATCTAAAAATATTTTCTGGCTTTAAATAACCTGCAAAATTTTATCTCTTCAATCTACCTTACATAGGTATAAGAATAGGAATATTGCTGCCATATATGATCCGGTGTCCCTGCTATATACATAATAAAACACTTACTCCCCCTCCCAAAAGGCTAAAAAGTTCCTCAGATATTATATCGAAAGCTGAAGTATAAGGTAAGTTCATGATTACCCAGATGCCATAGACTATTTTACTTGCACTTAGCTTAATTCTATAATTCTTTATTAAACGTAAATAAATGTATTTGTATGTGCTTTAACGAGTCTCAAATTACATCAAATCTGATGATTTTTTTAATAGTTGCCATTTTCATTAACTGACTGACACTTTAAAATGGTCTGAAACAAAATTTTTGAAGTCAACACTCAGAATAGACTATGGCAATCAATCTAAAAATTGAACGAACAAATAGTTTATCTTCCCAAACAAAATTATTAAATGAGCGACCTAAGCAAATCCCAGAATTTTTTTACTACGTTAATAAAATATCGAAAATCGAAAAGAAAAAATAAATATATGAATTTTTAAAAAAAATGAAAATACGGTTCAAAGTTTCATCTAACAAATGGACAATTTTGCTGTTACACGATTTGGACAATTTTGCTGTTACACGATTTGGACAATTTTGCTGTTAAACCCAGTATATAAAGTTAATTTCCCACTATCGAAAGTTGCTTTCCTGTGCCTTTTTCTATAAATACTTCCATGGTAATTGTTCGGATAATCTCTTCGTTGTTGTACGTAGACTTTATGAATTTAAGCTGGCAACAAGCTCTCATCAATTTACAATTGAATTGGCTAGATGAAACCGTAGGTACTATGCTAACAGTTTCTTTTCACGCACTTTCTGCATGTGGAACTCTCTTCTGGTTTCGTGCTTTACAGCCAACTTTGATCTTCATAAAATGAACTGCAATGTCAATCGTTATCTACTGATTAATCTTCTATTGTTCTCGCTCCTCAATAATGCTTCTGTTTTCTAATTCTTTCATGCCCAGCAACCCCTTGTGCCTTACTGGATTTACTGCCTTGCATGGGGTGAATCCGATTAAAAACATGTTGAAACGCCTTAAAAAACAAATCAATCACTGCGTAATCGTATCACCACCAGACTTTTCAATTGAAGTTGAATCTCTTACAGTAACAAACGATAGGTTATCAAATATAAATTATTAGTTGTTATTCTTGTTTTCCTTGTATTCATTCTTCGCCACCGTAATTCTCAACACTGTACGTGTGTTTATCAATTCCATTTAGTCGTCCGTTTTATTCAAATTCGTTGTCCGGGGTATGACAATAAACTACGTCTGGCAGCAAGGGAAATTGGAGGTTTTTGAGGAGCATGACAGCAACTTTTAATTGCTGTTGTTCCCAGGTTCACCCTGACCCGGAGTAGTAGCACCTGCTAGGGTCCCAGATGTGGACAAATAGTGAACCTCTAAACAAAAACAAAACTCTGTAAAAGTATAAAAATAGATTTTATAGTAAAATTACAAACAATACATTTTATCTGTAATTGAAGGCATGCAACTGCGATCAAAATATATTTGGTTGAAGCCATAAAACTGTGTTCAAAATGTTTAGATTTCTGTATTAAATGACCCATAGAGGTGTTGATTTGCCGCTAAACTAAATCAATCAAACAAACCGTTGCCCAGGTAAACCGTAGTCAAGTCAAAAATACTTCAATTTATGAATGATCTTAGATCAATACACACATTCATATGAAGGTGTTCCAATAACTTGGACCGATTTTAAATGTGAATTAAGTTTAAGCATCTAATTTTTATTTTTATTTCAGATTTAACAACTTAAGTCTTTGCCAATTTCAACAATAGAAAGATTAACAATCAAACAACGTGTTAAAGTTATCGAAGCCTATTACGAAAATTAGAGAAATTAGAGAAAATGGAAACAAAAAGGACAGTTATACTTAACATCAGGAAGTTTAGTGAGTTTTGAGATATTAAACATTTTGAGGGATGGAAAATCATGCTGTTACACGATTTGGACAATTTTGTTGTTACACCATTTGGACAATTTTGCTGTTACAGCCGGTATGTAACTTGAGCAGCGTTTCTCAACCTTTTTTACCCATGCGTAACCCTTAAAATAGATTACACGTCTCAAGGAACCCCTGCACAAAATCAAAATTATATACCATGTCTTTCTCATTTTATTTTCATCGTAGTTCACGTGGTAAATATCATAGTATATATTTTTGAATAACCAGTTTAAGGAAAAATTAATACTTCTTTGTCAAATTTTTCGATAATGCTAAATAAAATTCATACTATTCGTTTATAATACTTCATCAAGGTGTTTTCATTCACACAAAAAAATTCTAAGCTCAAACGTAAAAATAAATATAAGTAACCAATATCACATACCTATACATACGTATAATATATAAGTAACCAATATTATATACCTATAATATAACTATAAACACAATGTAAACAGTAATGTTACGTATATGAAATTAAATAAAAAGTCTAAAGTGCATTAGCTTATCTCACCTGTTCTTGCCAAACCCTTATGGACCTTTTGCGGAACCTTAGGGATCCGGGGGAAACACTGATATAGAGTGATTTTTTTTTGTTATTTTCCAAACAAGGTCAGCACATTGTTGCGTGTTCATAGTTGATGCTATTGAGTGTTCGCTTTTTCTTTTTTATTAATAATGTTTCCATTATTTCTGTCTTTTTTACATGAGGAAATTTCTAGGGCACATAATGAGGAAACAGGGCTTGGAAATTTTGATGCTCACAGAACAGATTGAAAGCAAGATGCACAAAGGAAACAACGTATAAATATACCTTGTGTGTCTGTGCAAATAGATGGCAGAAAAGGGTTTAGGAGAGATAACAAAAATACAAAATTTATTAAGAGAAACAAAGGATAGGAAATTGTGGAGAACCATAAGCCTGAAGAGACACATCACATAGAAGAAGAAGAAGAATAACAATAATAATAATAATTATTATTATTATTATTATTATTATTATTATTATTATTATTATTATTATTATTTCGCAAGCATTAAATTTTTACACATTCGATTTTCGAACGCGAAAATCGCAAATGTTGATTTTAACGGAAATGGACGAAGTCCATCAGGCAAAGAAGCAGCCGAATTTTCTTTTTCCCTAAACCGCCGGGTGTCAGTTGATGGCGACAAATTTGTCTTAATAAAAGTTGATCGCAATTCAATGACTTTTGCAAGGCCTTATCTTGACCATCATAGTATATTTTTTATCTGTTCTCCACCACTGGAATCACATAAGAAAGCACTCAGAGAACGCATACCACAGCTATTGACATTGTAAATAAAAATTAAATGAAGATCAGTTCATTTATAGATACAATGAAGGAGTAGAATTTCTGTCTAAATTTCTGGGATGAGGAATTATCATTATTTAACTGAGCAACACTAAATAAGAACTCGAAAAGATATCTCTAGAAATGGAACGAGAACAATCTACCCCATAGATTAAATAAAGGGTTCAGTACGAAATTCCCTGAAGACTACCGGGATTGACAAGCACCTGATTAAGACTGGAGGATACAAAGACTAAAACGTTGCTATAGTAACAATAACGATAAGGACAATAGTCTGCATATAAACTGAGCAAGTTTTGATAGACCTATATATTTCGGAATATTGTCTAAATATATTAAATACCTTTCAATCAAAACAAATTAATGAATTCGCTCCAAAATTTAGTCAATATTCACTTGACCCATGGAACTGCACTCACAGAATGTCATTGAAATACATTTTTGAACTTAGTCAATTGCGTGTGGGCAAAGAGACAAAGTTGAGTAAATACATAACCTCGCCGTCAGAGGCAAGTATTTCATGTGGCTTTTAGCAAAGTCTGGCACCGCCAATTAATTCCACTTGCTTACTAAAATGCCATGAAGCAATAAATCAGGCCCTGATATTTTACTTCAGTATTGTGTGGCACTCTTGTCATATTTTATGCATTCTCGTAAGCCTAAATTTTATCTGTGACCAACTTACACGAGTAGTACAAAACAATCCGCCTGGTGATTTTCTAAGCGCGGCTAAGATGTAGCACAAGGCCGAAAATGTGTAGCACCCAGCGAGGACCGAATTCACTGCTCAGTCATAACTGATCTAGCGAGGCAAGATTGCTAACAATTACACCACGTCGAAGTGCCCTTCATTTTCTAAGTGTCGCTTAGATGTGGCACATGGCCGAAAGTATGGGCCACCTAGTGAGGATCGAACTCACTATTCAGTCGTAACTGAATCCGCATCGGTCACATATTTACTATCAGCCTTTTACACATTTCTAACAAATTGTGTTTAGAACGTAAGTGGTAACATTTAATAAAGAGAGTTAAACGTCTGACAGAATCAGCACATGTGTTAAGATATGAGGATCTCCTTAGAAGGCCTAGCAAAGAAATAAAATATGGGAGCTGATAATAAAGAAATAAAAACAAATGACAGCAAGTCTTCAACCGCAGTAGCAGCAATCAAAACATGGGCAGCAACAGTACGCAGAAGTGGCAGCCTAATCAGCAGTCAAGGTTAGGTTTGTGTGTCTAAGTTTACTCCAGCAAATTGGCTAAAAAGCGTCTATTTGTGAATTTCGTGACATAGTGGTTGTGAGTTCAATTCCCTGGATCGGGCAATAACAAAACAGTACTAAATAAAAATTAAAAAAAAAACTATATGACATCCCTAGACCTGAGCAGTGGGGAAAAAAAAACAGTCTTCTCCGTAGA